TATTTAACATTCTTCATAATATATACATTAGTATTCAATAAATACATCTACAAGAGAGAGATGGTGTATTTATGTAATAATAAATATATTCTAATTTAAATAAAATTTTACCAATGCAATTTAATGCATAATAATATTAAGTATTATAATATTGTTCAATAATCTTACATTATTAAACAGTGTCAACAAAATTTACTTTTATGTTCAATACTACAAGCTCATTAAAACCATTAAACTTACCACATGTAAGTTAATTAACAAGAAAAAGATTCACAGTAGGATAATGATAGATATAATAAATTGTAATTTCGTAAATTCATACATAAATATACAAGTCAATTTTAAATTTCTTTTTTTCTCTTCGTTCCTTTTTTTAATAAAAAGGAGCATAAATTTCCTAACCTCTTCATTCAAATAACATCGGAAACACCAAAGACTAAAAACCGACATGTCTGGAGGCTCAGCAGAAATTGAAGAATGCTGATATATCAAGCAACTGGATTATCAATTGATGGTAAATGTCAAAATCTAATAAAATTCTAATAAATATATGTATAAATTAAATTGTAACAAATCATATAAAACAACGAGAATTTTAGATATTAAATTCAAAGACTTATTATGCTTTTACATATAAAATATATAATCAGATAAGTTATTTAAAAAATTTATACTTTAATTATACTTTATGTAAAAATAAAATCTCAAAAATTATTTTAAAAAATAAATTCTATATATATATAATAAACAAAACTTTTTTAACAATGGATTTTAATTAGATACATCTTTATAAATTACTTATATAAAAAAATTATAACTTATAAATAATTATAAATAATTATAAATAATTATAATAATAGACTTTTTTCAAACATATGCAAAGCCATCGATCTGAATAGAACTTTAATGATGACAAGAACTTTCCAACAATAGATACAGATGACACAGTGAATCGTTACGTATTTACATCCTACTTGTTCACCAATGTTAAACAAAGATGAAATGATCACTGTGAACTTTCGCTTGTTGGAAAGCTCCCAATATATTTAGGATTGGTTGCTACAGCACTCGGCGGGGAGAACGTTGGAGCAGCAGCGGAGATGGATATAGCAAGATACAGACGTGAGACACGCGCTAATAAAGCACAGATGTCATGCTGTCGCGTTTCGTGTGCCGCTGATCTCCGCGTATTTGGTTAGTTCTATTTGCGCCGTTCTATCTGCGCTGCTCATAAAATTCGCTCTTTTGAGATTTACGCATTGTGATACGAATTGTGATTTTAGGAAGTGCTAACTAACGGAAGATTGCCAACGGTATTGTCTTCTTTGTGAAGCTAAAATAAGTAATAAGTAAGTGTTGTACTCCATGCAGCTCATGATACCAGACGGTTCATAGTGTGACGTCACATGAGAATCACTAATAATTCGTAGTAGCGCGGATTTCAAATATCCGCGTAAGTCATTTTTATTAATTTTACTTCTATATTATTCTTAATTTCTATTGAGAGTAATAGAATTAAAATGAATAAATTTCTTTATAAAATGTTTTAAAATAATACAATGTAAAACAAAAACATTTTCATTTTATATTGAATAACATCTTTAAGCTAAAGAATTGTCAGTGTGTAAATTTTATTCAATATTTATGCAATCATTGATCGAGTGTAAATTTTTTATCTACAAATTCTTTGTCCCAATATACAGTGTCCAAAATCGAGGTATAAGACGCTAAGGTAACATCTTTATGGTATAAGACGTTGTCTGGGATTTTTACAACTTTTTACCAAAATAACTCATTTAAATAATTTG